TCCTTACACTAATGCTAATGTGAACCATAATCCTAATCCTAATACTAATGTTAATCTTAATCCTAATACCAATTCTAATTATAATCATAATTCTAATAATAACACGAATCATAATTCTAATCCTTATAGAAATGCAAATATGCTAATACTAATTTTAATATTATTGCTTATGCTAATTCTAATCCTAATTATAATGGTAGTACTAATAATTAAATTAATATGCTAATGATAACGCTAATGCTAATCACAATACTAAACTAATACTTATACGCCAATGCTAATGCTAATCCTAATATACTAATGCTAACGCCAATCGTAATTCTAATTCTACTACTATTGCTAGTACTAATGTTAATCCTAAACATAATCCTAATATTGATGCTACTAATCATAGTACTAATGCTAATGCTAATGCTAATCATAATCCTAATTCTAATTATAATCCTACACATAATCATAATGTTAAATCCTAATGCTAATGCAAATTCTAATTCTAATCCTAATGGTAATGTTAATTCTAATTCTAATATTAATCATAATCCTAATCCTAATCATAATCCTAATCATAATCTTAATCATAATCATAATCCAAATCCTAGTGGAAATAATCATAATACTAATACTAATACTAATGTTAATATTAATATGTTAATCATAATCCTAACAGAAATGTTGATTTGTTAATGATAATGCTAATCCGAATACTATCTTAATGCTAATCTTAATCCTAATCATAATCCTAATCACAATATTAATACTAATCTTAATCCTAACGTTAATACTAATGCTAATTTTAATCTTCATCATAACGTTAATGCTAATCCCAGTACTAATTATAATCCCAATATGTATCTTAATCATTATCATAATCTCAATATTAATACTAATAATAACCATTATCCTAATCTTAATTCTTAACACTACTATATGCTAGTGGTAATACTAATATGCTAATGTCAATGCTAATACTAATCTTGATATACTAAACTCATATGGTGATGCTAGTGTCAATCTTAATCCTTATTTTACTATAAATCAGAATCCTAATCTTATTCCCAAACACAATCCTAATTATAATTTTAATCTTAATAATGATCAAGTTCCTGATCCTGATCCTAATGTTGATCCTAATCCTGATCCTAATCAGAATCATAATCATAATCTCAATGGTAATCCTAATCATAATTCTAATATAAATGTAATCCTGATATTAATACTAATTATAATCTTAATGTTAATCCTATTATTTATACTAATCTTAATCCTAATACGAATTCCAATACTAATCTTAATCCTTATCACGATCTAAGTATTATTCCTAATCATAATCGTAATACTAATATTAATGCTAATACATTGATGGTAATTTAATGTTCATCCTTATATGCTAATGTTTATTATAAGTTTATAACTATAATATGCTAATGCTAATACTAATATATCCTTATGACATTGCTAATACAAATCCTAATATGCTAATGTTTATACTAATATGCGAGTGCTAATAGTAAAATGATAATGCTAATACTAATGCTCATCATAAAAGGCTAATGCCAATGCTAATCATAGTCCTAATCACGATCATAATCCTAATATGAATTCTGATCATAATTATAATTGTAATCCTGATCCTAATCATGATATTGATCCTAATTTTAATCATTATCTCGATCATAATCTTGATCGTAATCTTAATGTTGATCTTAATACTAATACAGTAATACTAATACTACTACGAATGTGCTAATTGTAATTTAATGTTAATCCTCATATACTAATGCAATTGTAATAGTAATATAGTAATAGTAATACTAATATGCTAATACCAGTGCTAATACTAATCTCAATATACTAATGTTAATACTAATATGCTAATGGTAATACTAATTGACTAATGTTAATGCTAATGAAGGGTCGTAAAGAATAATTAATTGATTAAATTCGGTTAACAATGATTAATATTGCATTATTGTCTGTAGAAACAATAGTAGTTTAATATAATAATTGTTTCATTGTTATCCCATATATATATGCCAATATATATTATTTTAATATAGGCATATATATATGACCCACTAATAGGGGTGAAAAATAGAAAATATAAAAAATCGCTAATAGGGGGAAAGTCAGATAATAAACTACCTAATTAAGGAAAAACAAAATTACTGAAATTATAAAATGGCCCCAGTTAGAGTTGGTAGTCAAATTGGTGAAATTACAAATAGACCCCAAGTCAGGGTCTCTGGTTTGATTACGCTAAATATGAAGAATTAGCGTGTATGAAAACAAAAACCTTTGATCGCATAAAGAAGATAATATTGGAAATATAGTTGTAAATCTGACGATAATATGTGGTAGTTTTTTTTATACAATTAAAATTTTATTAAATTGCAATAAAGAAATCCTAAGCAGAATTTTAAATAAAAACCTCCTAATTGGGTGAAAAAAAGCAAAACTAAATACCCCATGATGGGATGAAAGTGCAATAATAAACTACCTAACTAATGAAAAACAAATGTACGTGAATTAAAAAACGGCCTAGCTAGAGATGCTACTCACACTGTTGAAATGTCAAATTGACCCAAGTTAGGGTGAAAGTGCGATTACGGTAAATATGAAGAATTAGCGTGTATGAAAACAAAACACTTTGATCGCATAAAAAAACAAAAATTGCAATATAAATCTAAATCTGACTATAATATTTGGTATTTTTTGTTTGTAATAAAATTAAAATTTTATTAACTTGCAAAAAGAAATACTAAGCAGACTATTACATAAAAATAAAAACCCCCGAAGAGGTGAAAAATTGAAACTATAAAAACCCCCTAATAGGGGGTAAAGTGAGATAATAAACCACCTAACTAAGGAAAAAAAAAATTCTGAAATTTTGAAATGGCCCCAGCTAGAGCTGCTAGTCAAACTGGTGTAATTACAAATTGACCCCAAGTTAGGGTGAAAGTGCGGTTACGCTAAATATAAAGAATTAGCGTGTATGAAAACAAAACACTTTAATCGCATAAACAAATAATATTTGATATATAGTTCAAAATCAGAAGATAATAATTAGGTTCAAAAACCAATTTCAAAGGTCGAAGCAAAATGTTGCAAATCTACATATTGAAAATCGGAATTAATTTTTTTTAACAAACCGTCCATACAATATATGTGGATCATATCCTTGCATTGTATTCAACAACGCAAGGCTTTTTTTTTCGTGCCGATGTCACTGTATATGACACATACGTTGCTATCAATGGATATATAAAAGTACAGAGCAAACAAACATAATTAATTTCGTTGTTATTTTGTTTTCCCACAAAATTGTAATCCGAAAACAATGTAAAAAATATTTAAAACATACACATTGTTTCCCAGAAACGAAGAAGGCGATTCCATGCAATTTCAATATCCTCACTATTCATGTCTCCTTGCAATACTCCATCTGGCATTCCTCCATAAATTTCGGCACATAAATCTTTCCGCTAACGACATGATTCGAACATCTGGTGAAAAATAAAACTCAAAATATTTTGCAGAATTCTCAAATGTAAAAGAAATTTGTAAAATTTAAACATAAAACCATAGAAAAATCAAAATATTTTTAGGGTATAGACAATAATATATAAAAAATACGAAAATAAATAAATAAATGAACCTTGTTTATTTTCGTGTGCTTCTTAATATTTGGATGGAGAATATAAATGAGTAAGAACGGATTTGGAGTAAGGTATTTATACTTGTTTTTTTATGTAACAAAAGGTAAATAATATATATCTTTAAGGAAATACACCTTTAATGTACTAAATTGATACAATTATTGCGAAAATCCGGATAAGATTAGAGCTAATTGAGACAATTATTGATTATTTGCCCCAATTCCAAAATCATTAATCACATCCATTATTGATTTTCCATCTTTATAGCCATTCCAATTCAATATTTTATTAATGTATTTTCCATAATATTGAATTGATGTTTTTTATATGTTGATGCATGGGAATGA